TGACTGAACTTCAAATATAACATTTGTTAATATAAAAAATTTACTGCGTGACTTCTAATTTCTACTCTTCCGTATCAAATATATATAAAGCGCCACTTTAACGCAATTTTAATGGTTACTCGGTTAAGAAATACAAATGACTTCTATTGCATACCAGCCCCGAGAAAGTTCGGGGCAAGTTCAAAATATGCCTACGCAAGATTCATGTTATTTCAGTAATTCAGGCATAATGAACTTATTGCACGCGTTATAATTTTGTCACAAGCATGAAAAGTTTGAATAATTTGCGTTCGGGGCAATCTATATCTAACATTTTGATAAACAAACCCAGTAACGTTTTCAATGAACATAGTATTGGAATTGAAACTGAGTCTTGTGTTTTTATTGGCGTATTGGTTGAATTAAATATATCCGGGAATCTCACAGCGTTTGATATATATATATATATACTTTAAATACGTGGATAGATGCATTCAAATCAATATGATAGCAGTGGTGATAGCTTATTTAAGCATAATACCACCGGACCATATATAAAAAAATTATTCGAACTGACGATGAATGTAATGTATAGCATTGAATCATGCAAATCAAGTTCTAAAACTTTCAGTTACCCATCCAGTCCGATTGAAACTGATGTTATGCCAAAACAACAGGATTGGTCAAGTTTTAATGATTTTTAATTTCTTTTTTTCGCCTATACTGCAAACTCTCTATTTTCCCTTTATAACATAAATATTGTAGATACACTAATTCAAATGATGTATACATAATTATATCAGTTTATTCGTAGTAACGAAATCAAAAATATCGAAAATTTGCCTCCAAATCTTGCTTAAATCAAATTTTGAAGAGAATTATGATATTAAATAATGTATATAGATGTATATATATCAGGGTGGTCCAAACCCAGGCGCGCGGGCCACATGTGGCCCGCGTCACATTCGGAGAGTAATCAAAAAATCGCATTTCGTGTTGTTTCATCATAAAATTAATCAGAAAAATCTTTTGACATATTGTCATCACTATTGTCACTGATTTGAATAGTGTTATAGATAGCTGGGGATTGGGGAAACTAGCGAAGTTGAATGATGTGCTTCGCGGTCTAAATCGTTATCTGGCTTTTTAACTTTTTGGTCGGGAATATATGCAAACAATATAGGCATCATAGAAAACTAAAAATCGAATGCGGATTCTATTAGCCTAGAATGGCTATGCCTGATAACTAAGTGTTTGCACAATAAAGACGTTTGTTTTGTATTGCACTTTTTACCTATTCTTGGCACTATTGTGGCCCGCGAACAATGCAAAAATAATTTTGTGGCCCGCGGAGCCGACAACCTTGGACCACCCTGATATATATTATACCATTCGTCATAGTAAAATAAAAGGGAGAGCAACGCTGAATCATATGGACACGAAAGTCGCGCATATGCACCAGTACAGTAATAATGGAATGAGTGGAATTTCTGCAAATACCGCCGGGCAATCATTATGAGGGCGATCGAGCAATACGGAATGAAAAAGTGTTGCCCCTTATTAAATTTTAATAAATTAGCAACTTTTCAAATCTCCGAGTACTATTGCAGTTCAAATATTGTACTTTTTTCTTTCAATGAATTTATTTCATTTTTACCATTTGTTTAAATGTACAATGTTTTTGCACGACGAAAAATAAATATCTGAACCCCATCATAACAACAACAACAAGAATTTAGCAAAACGATCCATATGTAGATTTTGTATTTAATTACAGTTTTAAGTCCATGTGAGTTTTTCAGATTTGTATCTCTGTTTTGGGGTTAATTGCGTCCATAGATTGTTCTGTAGTGTGAAGTTTCGTGGGTTAAAATTAATGCGTGTAAAACAGCGTGATATTGATGGAAATTGAGGAGGGATCCGCGATGCAAGAATTCTGCCACCAATTACGTCTACCATAAATAAATAAGTGAAGTTCAAGTCATGCGTCACAACTCTTCAATTTATAGTTAGAAGGAAGTACACGATGTTCACAAAAGCGTCAAGTTATAAAACACTATTTATATCACCAATTAGATGTTCATACGAAAAGTAAATGTAACGCAGTAGCGTATACGGATTAGAAACAATACCAATGATGATAAGGATGATATTTGCCTAAAGGTATGCTAACACCTGTAACGCTTGTCAGAATATAAAATGGTGTAAATAACCTCTGAAACAACAACTGCATTTGATGTTTTGTTGTTAGTGATCTTAAATATTTAAATCGTTCAAATATTCCGATGTAGGCTATAGAAAACACAGATGGTGGTGTGTCATATGCATCCGCCGAAATTGATTATGATACCCAAATATATAAAAAACATGAAATGAAATGAAAAGGAAGTACCAGAAAAATAAACTATTGATGCTGACACATTTAAGTCCAAAAATAACTTCGATAATTACTTTATCGGTATTTCCCGTTTGAAGCTCTAACTGTTTATATATAAATATACTGCGAGTGAGACAGATCGAGATATTTCTGGTCAGAAATCAAGAAGGACGTTGTTCGTACGAATTATTTTCAACTTTGCAATAGTTTATGAATAGTTTATAAAATACCACCAATCCGTTTTCCAATCCCGAGGTAGAGTTCAGTTAACATCACATGATATCTTGCCCATTGCATATTGCTTGACGAAGGAAAGACAGGGTGCTAGTATGGTATGTCGAATGGATGAGTTACGCATCTTTTTTAATATTTAGATACGCATTAAAAATGGCACTAAATCGCACCTAAAATAAACAGGCGAACAAGAGATCATTTCCAAAATATATTACTTCATAAGTCGCTCATTGTTATCGCTACTGTAACCAACGAGTTAAACAGAGTCATGTCTTCTACACTCCACAGATTGAAACTGAATTGTGATGGCGAATGAGGCACATTAGTCGGAGAGAGAGATATTTACGTAACAATAAATAAATACAGTATCAAATGCTGCGGGTTATTTCATATTCGATGTACTGCGGATTACATGTGTACGGAATGGTTTAGCTGATGATAAACGCGATAACCATGTTTCTAGTCACGACCAAACTTTTAATATGAGCTCTATTTTTCGCACCAACACGATAGCAACTTCCATATGCCTTGAGGGCAATCTGAGAGAAGTTACTTTCACTCTGCGCGGTTCATATATTATACAAGATAACTTCCAGCAATATTAACTTTTGTAACGTTACAATGAACATAATAAGCAAACAGCATTGTACTTGAGAGATTATCCATCTGCATATATTTTTGCGAGTCGCAGTGTGTTGGCTATATATAATTAAGACGATTGTTAGGATTAGAACCTACTAGTTAGAAAGTAGAGCAAGGTCAGCTATTGCTGTTGTTGATGACCTTAAACATGAATTTCTAGAAAATAGCAAATCGAGACTGACAGGTGAATCGAGCATACCGTTGGTAATGGCATATCAGCATCAGAAGAGAATGTTTCAGAAAATCATATAGAGTATTTCAGTATTTTTGGTGTAAAAATCCGAAAAACGAAAATGCAAATAAAGTATTGATTTTTGACAAAAATAAGAAGGATAGGTTCAAAACTCGAACTAGGTATGTCATTACAGACAATAATATTTCCTCAGTAAATTAGAGAGCGCTTCTATATCGAGCCAATCATTACTGACGTTTTAAATATAGTTTTATATTTCATCAGTTGCAATTGCATGTGAAGGCCCAAATTAATTGGTACACAACGTTTGTCAATATATTGAGTACAAGGTTATAAGTGGTTACAAAACGTCAGATGATAAATATCTACATTGTTTCGGCAAAATATTGACTATTGATTATCTCAGATAAAAATTGATTTTTAGATCATTTTACTAGAAGGTGCAATATATGTTTCATTTGATAGCAATTACCATGTGTGTATAAAATTAATAATCTTGACCATATGTTTCTAAACAGAGAAACATGTATTATATAAACATGTATTATATGTTTCTAAACAGAGAAACATGTATTATATAATTATGGTTTTAATCGACATTCAAACGCAGAAATATAAAATCAATTTTCGAATTATGTAATTTAAATTACGAGAATACTCGAAAAGAAAAAGTCTTCTGCAAGAAACAAGTCGTGAAAGTTGCGGAGAGAAATGTTTTTTCATTTTATATACTGAGCACCTGTTTGCATTTCCTGTTCGTTGGGTGTGTACGATTTTGCCCATTTCCTAGTTCCTTTCATTGATTAATAAAAATCAATTAATCTTGAATTCTTAATTAACAGAGCTTTCTGAAGTGTATTCATATATTTGAACAATGAATGACAACTATTTCATAAATGTTAGTTAGAGAAAGTTCAAAATGATGTATGCGGGCTAGTTAGGTCGATAATACGAAACGGACATCTGATCATAGGAGATATCGTAGGATAAAATTCGTTTCAGCTAAAATAATTTTATATTCAAAATACAATTATTGGTATATTTGATATGTATGTATAAGATATGTTGCACAATGATAATATTATTATACAAAACGAAGTTGAAAATATCAAGATAGCACATGGTGTAATAAATACTTTTTGAAGGACGATGGTGTGATTCGCGCGAAACCTTTTTTTAAAATTTCGTGATAATTAGTGAACCCGTTTTTGTTCCATGTTTTAGAGTTAGACGTTAGACGACGGCGGCGAATGGGTAACTTGCACCGCAGATTACAGTCATATTTGTCGCTTCGAAAGTTATGCATTAGATTCATGTGAAGCTTACGTGGTGACATTTATACATTTTAGGAATTGAGGGAACCGCTTTTTTAGTGAGTTGAATACAAATAAGAACCTGTTGCTGAGACTTTGATTCTCATCACTTCTTTGACGGCAACATCTTGTATTATAGGAAATAGTTTCGTTCATTTTCAGACGCTAAATGCTTTCATAACAACCAATTAGGGATATTTTATGATTACAATAATTACCTAGTTCAAGTTATAATAATATGTTTTTTGTTTGTAGGCTATTTGACGTCAAATAGATTAAACATAGTTTAAATGCTTTTTTTGAACGGATTTAATTTTTAGAAACATGATTCATAAGTTGTTTTTTATCGTACTGGCACTGATTGGAACAACTTCTGCGCAACTAGGACTTGGAACAACAGGTAAGATTAGCAATACAAATTCCATCACGTTTGATAACAAATGTGAACTTTTATAACTGATAGATCAACCATTTCTGCTATCTATATGGTTGACTTTGTATATAGTTTTATGTAAAATATAAACGCGGGTGGCTAAGTTGAATTTTGTCGATTTTATTTACCAAATAACTCTTCGTCGTCTATGGTGGCCCATCGTTGTCACGTGTAAAATTAAAGAAAAAAATGAAAAAAAAAATGAAAAAGCGAAAATAAAAAAATTGTTGTGAAAAAACATAAAAATAATTGAAAAAAAAGAAATAAAAAAAAATTGAAATTAAAAAAAAAAATTGAAAAATAAAACAAAAAAAAAAAATTAAAAAAAAATAAAATAAAAAGGTTGACAACGATGGTCCGCCTCGTGGCCCATCGTTGTCACGCGTTTTTATTTTTGGAAAATTTGATGCTGCTTGGGACCAACGTTGTCAGGCTTAATCCTACACGCACAAATGTGTTTCCTTGGTTTCTAACTCGCTACTGATTTTCATGAGCAATATCGAATAAAATCAAAATGAAAATGTTCTATAAATTCTCCATGCTACAAGTTCAACCACAAGCAATATATTTATAATAATGATAAGAGAATATAGAATTGGATACGAAAATTTGTTTTTACGTGTAGAAGATAATTTAATTGGAAAATGCTGCTTAACTGCTCAGACACTCGTGCGATGCCGGTACGGTACCGTCTGACCGTACCGGTACCCATGCAATCACTCGTGAAAGAATGGGAGATACGGATAGTCTCGTAGAATATAGTCTACTGAAACACTCTCTGCGCCTGCCCCATACCGTACAGCCGTAACGTACCGATCCAGACAAATGATAAATCGCCCGTGCTCAACCATTTATTCCAATCCATACCTCGACTCACTATATTCTACTAGGATCGAGGTATGGATTGAAATAAATGGTTGAGCATTTTCCGAATTTTCGTATTCAATTCTATATTCTCTTATCATTATTATAAATATATTACTTCTTGTTGAACTTGTAGCATGGAGAATTTATAGAACATTTTCATATTAAATATTGCTCAAGCAAATCAGTAGTGAGTTTGAAACCCAGGGAACACATTTGTGCGCGTAGGATTATGCCTGACAACGTTGGTCCCAAGCAGAAGCAAATTTTCTAAAAATAAAAACGCGTGACAACGATGGGCCACGAGGCGGACCATCGTTGTCAACCTTTTTATTTTCTTTTTATTCAATTTTTTTTTTTTTTAATTTTTTTTTTTTTAATTTTTTTTTTGTTTTTTATTTCATTTTTATTTATTTATTTTTTTTTAGTTTTAATTTTTTTTTTAATCATTTTTATGTTTTTTTACAACAATTTTTTTATTTTCGGTTTTTTATTTTATTTTTTATTTTCAATTTTACGCGTGACAACGATGGGCCACCATAGTCGTCTATGAGAAATACAAGATTATATTCCGAGAGTTATTCTGAATCATGTGATGGTGAAGAATAGCCGGGCTATTTGAGCTGGACTATCCTATCAACACTGCGTCAAGGATTACTAAATATCCAATAGACTACACTATTCGGTATTTAGGCTTATTTTCGTGCAAAGTTTACGTTTGATCGGGATCTTAATTTCCGTTTCAATTCGGCAATGCGTCTAAAAATGTAATTGTATTACACAATTTCACTTTCGCGTTTTGTTTATAACATTTAGTTTCAAAATATGTGAATTGCAAACTCTTCCTGAATAGCTTATGTATATGGTTGATGATTATTGAGCTGAAAGGGATCGTAATCGCTGTTAAACAATAAACTTTTCGGCTTGACTGTGAAACTATGACGTCATATCAATTATTGCCGATAATGAGGGTAATATCTAAGTTCAATCAAGTGTCAGTAAGCCTACATCAATCAACATAACATGCCCTGAAGAATTGCAGTTTGGGGCTTATTGACACCAATGACCAACGCCCACCCATATTCATTTGTTTACGGCGATGTTCGATAAATTTTATGGGGGTCAACTCTACAGGATAGTGCATCAAATTTTTCGTGATTTATATTAGTCAAAAATTAATATATAATTCCGGCATGTGGACGCGTAGCTTGTCGATGAAGTAAGTTACTTGTACACGCTCCATCAAACGCAATGTGAATCTAGCTATTTGCCGAATTCCGCTTGTTTCTGGTTACCCGATATATATATATAAGTATTTAGAGATAAAACTTAAATTAACTTTGGCAAAGTTCTATCAGAAAAATGCCTCACATTTTAATTATCCTTCTTTCTACTCCTACCGGACCTACCGTTTTGTCCCTGATTTACCGAATTTCGTTAATTTATAAAATTACATCACCGTGTGAATTCAAGGTTCAAGACAAAGAGGCGAATGAAAATATTCTATTGAAAACACGGAGAAAAATCTGCTCTTTTAGTTAGTTTCCTAATCAAAGTTTGAGGCCATATTTTCCAAAATGTTTCGATAAAAAGTTAAAGATGTTTAAAAGTTCAAAATTATATGTTTTCCCAATACCTTTGAAAAAATTTTCAAATTTTTTTCAAGTTTTGACCTTTTGGTTTTTTAACCGATATGGTAACATATTTGTGCATCGATCTTTTGGTTCATTTTGCTGATCATTGAATATATATATTCAAAATTGATGATCCGAAATTGGCATTACAAGTATATATATCATTTTGAATCGTTCGCTGATGATCGAGAAAATGAACCAAAAGATCGATGCACAAATATGTTCCCATATCGGTTAAAAAACCAAAAGGTCGAAACTTGAAAATAAAAAAAATTTTCAAAGGTATTGGGAAAACATATATCTTTAACTTTTTATCGAAATATTTTGGCAAATATGGCTTCAAACTTTGATTACGAAACTAACTACAAAACCAAATTTTTCTCCGTGATTTTTCCAATACTTTTTTTTCATTCCCCCTTTTTGTCTACTATCTCATATACCCATCCTACTAATGAAATGAGATAGTGGATCCTGTTTCCGTTTTTTCAATCAATAAATTCAAAAGAATATTTTTGTTTGTATTGTAGATCCCAAATATAGATTTAAAAAAATTCATTTTCAGAAACGAAGACAAATAAATAAATGTATCAACCATCAGTCAATGATAAAAGTCATCATTTGAACGACACGCAGATTTGCGCGCTGAAGTTAATTACTGTTGTGATCGGTGACGCGTATTTGATGAATTCAGTTTTAGGGCCATAAATTGTCTTAATCACCGGTAACTTGAGTGTACGTAATAAACGATTCGTGTCAACTCTATAAAACCCGATACAATTTGTACCTCATACATCTTTGTGGCACGCGAACGAGCTTAATTGCCAATGAAACTGACACTTCTATAATCACCGTATCGAAATTGCCATGAAAATACGCAACATTGTTTGGTCTTGGCGTAAATATATAAATAAACTAGGCAGTAGTGTTATTTATTATGGTCTGTACAGGACACAACGTTTCTCATCAAATTTGCGTACAGGGAATGTCTTGAACTAAAGATGATTTACATAAGATGTCCTATGCCAAAAACTTCTCGTATAGATGAGATACCCCAACAACGCTCCATTGAACGTGAGCAGATGACATCTTGAATGGAACCATTTGTTCATATATAAGCAAAATCTGTAACGTTATTTTGTCGTCCTAGTTTTACTTTGCCCTTCTAACCCCGGTGGGATCTGTGATTTTTCGAACTAATATATATATATATTTTTTGATATATATTTTTTGTTTTACACCTTTATAAGCCGGATTACATACTATAATATATTACGACAATCTTATTTTTTCAGAATGCGCTTGCAATATTCCGTCTGAGTTTCGGTCATCATGTACAGCGAATCCATTTGCTCTCACGCGCCAACAATGCCTTCAAGCTGGATGTTGTTATCAGTCTAGTGGGTTTTTCGGACAACTTTTTGGATCAAATTGTTACGAAAAAGACCGTGAGTAAAGTGTTTTTTGTATAAATTAAACGTGTATTGATTAAAATAACATGACAAATTATTTCAAAATATTCGTCACAGCTGCTCATGATGAACTTTTACATGACAAATGCTGTCTAAACGCGTAAAAATACATGGCCACGAAAGCTATTACGAAATAATTATGTTACCCACAATTTACCTAAACATCTTATCCTGAATATACTTACCAGTATCGGCACACAGACTTTCCTTTAGCTTTCCCTGGTCGCATGCGTCGAGTCTCAACGTGAATCGAAAATCCCAATTATTCAAGTAGCAACTGTAGTACCAAATCTGTTATAGTACCTTACCTTTTACCTAGACTACTGCCCCCTTTTATCGTCTTTGGCTAAGCACGATTTCTGCTAACACACAGCCCACAGAAATTTTCGAAAAAAATAAAAGTAATAGCCTTCTAGCGACCAAAAAAATCTTTATTCCTGAAAATTTCAAAGCCATTGGTCCAGTAGTTACAGAAAATCGACATAACAACAATACCAGCAAGAAAAGAATAGACAACAGTCGGTTTTCAGTTTCATTATTTTTAGCCACATATTGTCAAGTTCAACCTTTGCAACCTTTACAACCGGATACTTCCCTGGACATTTTTGTGTCTCAACCACAGTCGACATGTCAATTGGCTCTTCCACTCGAGCAATGTCAGTTAGGCAGACTAGGAAGAATATTTTGCGAAGCTCAGGGATGCTGCTATGATCAATTTCGACAACCGTTCTGTTTCAGAAAAGGTGAATAGAATTTTACAATAAGTAAATGATAAGAGCACATCATTTTGAGGAGACATTGCTTACCCGATTTCTTAGGTTTTCTTTGATGTGGCTGGCTCGTGTTGAATACTAATGATTGGGTACGATACAACCCATGATAGTTAGACCCACAACTCTACAACAAATGATCTGACGCCTAAGAACAGAAACAAAATTGTTTTTGTATTTTGCGTTAAATGAATTTAATTTTTTGTACGATTATTGAGGTATATTTTGCAATATTTTATATATATACGGCAAAAATTAAAGAGGTATTCAATAGTATATATAAACTTACTAAATAAGCATCTTCTTACAAAAGAAGATATACCCGCAAAGATATGGATTATAATAATTTTGGTGTCAAGTTACTATAATTAGATTCGAAAAATGAAGGAATACATGACAGATATATCTTGTTTTGTCCGAAGAAGTTGGATTATGATCTATCGAAAGCTAACAAATATACTCTCTTATTTTGTGGAATTCAATACTATCTCATTCGCACAGCGGTCACATGCTTAGGAGAAGAAAAGACCTGCATTTTCAATACACAATATGTTAGAGATAAGCATGTCAGAATAAATATATATATATATATTACTCACAATATGAATATATATCCACATATTGAATGGTGATATCATATTGCTTTTGTATTCAGCGAGAACATCCACGTCGATATTCCAGGTCCACGTGCAAGTGTCGGAATGGACGTTCTGGGGTGCTTGTTCGGAAGAATGTTCTCCTGGTTTTTCAGCAAGAACCAGACGATGTCTAAATGCAGGTTTGATAATTTGAAACAAAATTTCGTTTTTTTGTTTGTTTTAGTAGTTGCGATATGCTACGAGTACACAAAAGCAGCAAAAAATTTCTAAAGTAGTTATATCGTATTTTCTTATCTGAAACCAAATATCTTACAATATAATAATATATAGCGGTGAAATTCCTATGCAAAGTATATCTTCACAACCGACTGTGTCGATACCGGATGTCTATTTTGTTCGGAAATCATCCAACGCCATATTATTATTATTAGAAATGGGATACCCTCAAATTGGATTGATTATTAATGGATGACATTTCTATTTACAATTTTCAATAGATTTCTAAGGTCACATAACTTTTGTTATTTCTTCAGATGCGCAAACATGTCTCAACCAAGGGATAAGACTCGCTGAACAAATATCTTGTAATCAACAAGCATGTCAGACATGGAGCTCATGGGAATACAGCGCTTGTTCTGTGACTTGTGGAAATGGATTCAATACAAGAACAAGGTAAAAAAGGTTCTTTGGTTTAAAGTTTTTGGTAATTAGTTTTTTGTTTTTTTGGTAATATTGAAGATTGGACAAACGAGTTCAAAAACAAAATTTATACAGTTTTGTAAATCTTTCTGCACACAAACAGTCTACAAAAATAGAATAAATACAATCAGCACTATTAATCGGGATTATATATGGCTGGCATTGAAGTTGAGATATCGTTATCGAGATGAATTTTTGCACTGATATGAATTATCACATGTTAGCTAACTTCGAAATTTCTTAGTCGTGATTTATTATTATTATTTTTTTCATTCATCTTTATTTTTAGAAAATGTATATCAAATACTTCTGGAAGAGAAAACATTGAATGCTACTCTTCAAGAACGAATTGTAACCCACGAGTATGCCCAGTTACAACACCACGACTGCGCCCAGTTACAACACCACGACTGCAACCAAGATCTCGACCAGCAACATGGAGTCAATGGCAAACATGGGGCCCATGTTCACAAGAATGTGCGAGAGGGCAGAGAAGCAGATTTCGTTCGTGTATTCGCAATAACCGTGTAGCTGCATCAAGAATGTGCGCTCCTTTTGTAGGATCAGTGTCAAGTTCAACTCAGAGTGAAAATTGTAACACAGAAATGTGCGATTCGTGGACGACCTGGACAGCTTACAGCGCCTGCGGTCGTTCGTGTGGCTCCGCCGTCAGATATTCTACAAGAACGTGTTGGAATAAACAACGTTCAGGCCGAATCAGCAATGCATTTTTGAGTTGCAGTCAAAGAGAAGTGGCATGCATTCTACCATCGTGCTCCGTCTCTAGTGCAATTCCTACTTTCGTGGAGAGTACTCGTTTTGTCGATCGGTTTAGAACAACAACTAAACCAACCAATACACAATCAGGGAACATATTTAGCATTACTGATTCGCCAATTACTCCCAAGCTTACAACAGTACCAACGACAATAAGTACCACTACTACTTCCGCTAATACTCCAAAAATTACAACTACAGTCAGGACAAAAGAGCCTGCATCACCAAGCATTTTCGTTTTTACGACTGCCAAGAAAACGACAACAACACCCTTTTCAACAACTAGTACAACTGCTTCAACTACTAGAGCAACAACTACTAGCACTACAACTACTACAACAACAACAACAACACCAGAACCGACAACAACGACTACTACAACAACTACAGAACCTCCTACGACTACAGAACCTGTTACGACAACAACTGAAGCAACAACTACTCAAAAGGCCAAAGTACCACAATGGGGTGAATGGTTGGACTGGTCACCTTGTTCAACAAGTTGCACTAATGGCACCAGAATAAGAACAAGACTGTGCATGTACAGGTTCGCCACATCTTACAGTTATTTGAATAAAACCAGGGAAATCATAGTCCCAAGTTATTTTAAGTTGGATTTCTGTCCGATTATTTTATTGGACACGTTTAGTGGCCATAACGATCGTTTCAATATTATGTTGTTGTTGTTGTTGTTGTTCTTGTTCTTTGACACGTTTTTAAAAAATCGCTTTTCTCTTCGAATACTGGACCAATTGCTTTGAAATTTTCAGTGGTTAAAGATTAATTTCTTCGCTAGAAGGCTATTACTTTTATTTATTTCAAAATTTTGCGTGAATTCTATGAAATTTGATATTTCGTCTGAAATTTTGCTGTATTATTTTTTATCCATGGGAACACGGATTTTAGTCAATGTCATGACTGGCTGTACGTTTTGATTATGCAAAATTCTTGCTACTGGAAATTCAGAACTTTTTTGAGGGTACCGGTAGCGCCAAAGGTACCGGTAAAGACTGATTCGCTCTGGTCTAACGTGTCCATATATTTGTGCGTAGCTCTCTTGTTTTATAAGATTATCATAACTTTAGGTTATAAAGATAGTTTTTCAGCCTTCATGTCCTCGTTTCAAATTTTTTCTAGTGACGAGTCTGAAGCTGCAATTGAGGATTGTGGAGTTGAAATGGAATCAGTTGATATAGGAAGTTGCAATGATGATCTCTGTCTGGAATGGAGAGAATGGACTACAGTTGAAAAATGCCCGGCATGTAAAAAGACCGACGAAGATGTCGCAAACAAATTGGAAGTAAAAACGAGAGAATGCGCTGGACGAGAGAAAAAAGATGGTGCGTAAAATTGTCCTTGAAAATGCATTTTCACGATAACTGTCAGCAGCAAGTTGTCCCTCAGGGATTTGTATCACAGTTCATTGTCAGTTCTCGGCGAGTTTTGATGCCAAAAAAAAAACATGGGTTACATATTAAGCCGAATTATAAAATCTCTCCGATAAGCATGAAAAAATATTTGAGTATTTCAAATTGTTTCAGTATTTTAAACTACCGAAATGTGCACAGAGGAACTTAGTATTTCAAAAGTTGGCTGCGTTACCTACAAGTCTTATAAAAAGAATGATCTTTCAGAAAATTTGCGACGCAATAGGTTTGTGGGACTAGTTTATGGCACCAGCGGATACCAACAGATAATCCAAGCTTGCCGAAATAGCCTACTGTTTCAGAAATTGCTCTAATTTGGACGCCTATTCCGGTTTTGAGTATTGTACAATTTGCAAATTGAATTCAGTATCAATCAATTAGTTTTCCTTTTTAGCCGATGACGATTGTTATATCAACGTTTTCAACTGCGAAGATACTGTAACAGAATATTGTCCCGACGATACTACGACAACGGCGCCGACAAATGCTCCTACAACATCCAGCAGTACTGCTTCAACTACATCGGCAACAATCTCAACAACAGAATCAACAACAACAACATCCACAGCAACGACAAGCAGTCTACCGACTGTCCTCACGGGCCAAACTTCAATTTGGGCAGATTGGGGCGAATGGAGTGATTGCTCATCAGAATGTTCTCCCGGTATCCAAAGTAGAGCAAGAAGATGTGTGCCTGGTGTTCCCCCTCATCTTTGTGTGGAAGGCTCTTTGGATTCAAGAGTGTGTAATGAAGATTTTTGCTACGTAAGTTTTGTTCCAATAATTACCACCTAATTAATATAGCGCATTGGGTATAATTCCAAACAAAAATTGCAACGCTTGATGAATTGTCGGGAATAATTTTATATATATGTAGTAAAACCTTCATTTTAGACATTCATATTATGTCTACCAAACCATAATCGCCTGCAATCTATTGGTATGCTTAAAATTGAAGTGAAGTTACAGTTGGCGATAAGAGCGTCCCCAAGAGGGACAGACGTGGGGGAATTTACTCCAGGAATTTTTTCTATTGACCTACATTGTCACATGCTATGATTCTGTCCTGAACAGGCCTCGTGATAATTGTTTTATCGATTGTTATTTTGGTGGCCACTCCAGGTTGCAATGAGGTTTTACGGATCTCCAGAAGTATGTGCACCAAGATGGCGCACAACCTGAACATAGTAGTTGTACCAGGTTAGGGTTCAGGTTGTGCGTCATCTTGGTGCACATACTTCTGGAGATCCGTAAAAGATGGATTTGATTAAAAGATAGATGGAGCGCTGGATTTATTACTTCAGAATGATCAAAATTTCCCGATGATCTTTTCTCCTAATAATTCAATTTTATCTATTCATTCCTCAACCCACCTTTCGTCTACGTTAAGTAGTTAGAGCGTTTAGTCTCTTAATTTATTACTAAAACAATGTAATGAAAAATAAATGATGAAATAAACTAAAAATGCATAAACCTATTAAGGCATGGACCGATTGGGATTTGGGACAATGTGATAAAACATGCGGAGAAGGGGGAACAGAAGTGAAACGCAGAATTTGTCCGGGAGGAAAAATCGTTGAAGCCACACCGAAGAAATGCTACGAAGTGGTTCAAGAATGTAGTTTTGTATTCCCTTGCGAAGGTAAGCAGAATAGGATTTACATATTTAACACGGGGGAGAGAAAGCCAATAAGACGGGGAACCACACGGCATCTCGTCAAGTTACCATTCCAAGTCGGGTATGGGATTAGTTGGTTATTTGTTTTCGGCAGCATGAACTTGATGGTGGAGGAAGCCGTAACCGACCAGCGGTTACGTGAACCACCCTACGACGACGAGGAGTCCAGCAATCCTCTCGCACATAATTATCCCCGCATGGGATTCAAACCTGTGAACCCACGCAGAGTAATCAAAAGTGCAGTGACGAGCGTATTCCCAACGCTTAGCGCGATGAGCCGCACCGGAATAGATGAAATTGGTTTATTCAATATTTCATTGGAAACAGAGCGCACTGGGCAGGCCGTATTTGTGCTACGAGTAAAATAATATAAAAAGTCAGGCATTCGACTAGTAAAAAATAATAGAGAAGTATGGTAAAATGGAACGAATATTAATTACATCAAATGCAAATAGAGTGTTCTGAAAACATTGCCGAACTTTTCGTCGCTGAGTTAATGTCAGTGAACGATATTTCCGCTTGTGCAGGTGTCGAGTGAGCGTTCGCAGTTGAATACGGAAAGTTCGTTTTGTCGACAGAAGTTAGTGTAATCATGTTTCTTTTCCTATATTTCCGTTTTGGCTTCCGAGACGCTGGTGTACGAAGAAAGCCGAGGATCTTGCAAACTTTGGACATTTGTGATTTTCTACAAAATAGAAAGAAATAATTTTCACCGTTTTTCATTATTTTCTTTCCTTGAAATATGATATGGTGGCTAGGAAAATTCCAAATTTCTCGGTTAAACATTGACAACGGCTGCGCATTACATAACGAAGAATTACATTTGTTTCCGACAGTTATTGATTGAAAATGGATGCTAATGCTTTAAAGCTTTTTGTCGACAATTTGTCTTTTTCGGATGATTGTCAAATGTATTCCGAATACAATCTTTTGAATATGCCAATGCTTTTCCTTCTATCTGGACTAGAGGCACATCACTCTAATAGCGTCGGGGCTGAATACTGTTTAATCGCTTACCTGCAAACGCTGCTCGTGAGCCAATGAAGACACATTTCATATTCGTGGTCCGATATTTTTCTGGTAACATTATCAGCCTCTTCCTCCAATATGAAATCCGCTAAATGGTCAGGCAATATATTTCCACCGTCGTATTGGATAGCTGAATTATATGTCTTTTTCCTCTTTGTATATTTTCTCTTTTTCCTTGGCTGTTCCACACCTGCTTCGTCGGATTGTGACGCACCAGTGCTATTACTTTTTGCACTTGTTGTTTCGGTAGACTGGAGCCACAATGGATTCACAGTTGATGTTTTTCTCGGTAAGCCGCATATATTGTCCAATTCACCACGGATTGGTGTCCAAAAATTTGACATGTTTTCCATTATAGACGAATCAGGCACCTTTTTACTAATACTAATAATAGGCGTTAATGGTTCTGCTGGTGTGTCGAAAATCAGTGCTCGACTAACAGAGTGCCTCTTCTCAACCTCCATTTTATTAAAATACCGCACGTTACAACCTCAGGAGGAAAAATAATCACGAAATTGTCGTTTAACAGACAACTGCCGTTATACAATTTCCGCTAGTTCTTCCGCTCAGAATAAACGCCAAACTAGGATTTTCGTTGCTAACAGTCCTACGTAGTGCTGTTGCTACCTACTTTTGTTACGTCATATTAATAACGTCGCGCATGGGTGAAGTCAAGTTTTGATTGTTTGGTCACAAGCCTCAAACTTCCAATGGCGAACTCGACAAATTCTCGCCGTTTTCATCGTTCGCAAAATTGAAAACCACCACGTAACGAGCAGACAACAGTTTTTTCCGAATGCAATATATATGAAACATTCATCAATTTTTAATCTAGCTAGAGGCTCGATTTTAGGTTTCATGGGCTATAACGCTCAACGGTCAAGTTTCGTTTCATCTTTGTATTGCAAAGCGTACAAAAGCCGGTTTTTCAAAGGTGCGTGGATTGCAATTAACCCGTCCTCTTGTATTTGCGCACGTGTTCTGCCCAAAGATAGTTAATTAGTCCTTGCGGATGATTAAAATCCATGCCAAAAACTGGAAGCGTTTGCAGAATGTCTTCATTGATATTAACGAGTTCCCTCATCATCCCTAATCCCGGAAGTCCAAGTTCGAAAAAGAGTGTTGCAATTCCTGTTTCAAAAGTCTAAGGTGGATAGTCACTTTGTGCGAGTGATCGGTGTCACGCTCAATCTGAATTGCAAAACAGATCTTCGATTATTCCTCAAACACGGCGATATCACATATCCTCCCTGGTGTTCGAAATCATAGTCATTGGCAGATTATGATTACAATCTTAAAAACAAAGGTAAATTCAAATTCAATTATAAATTCCTAGCTTCGCAGACATGAAACCGAAATCCTCGTTTCTCCTGGCCGTGAATCCTTCCCTATTCTATCCTACATCCACGGGAATCCAAGTTGAGAATAATAGCATGACCGATAACTTTATGATTTCTGATAAGTTGTGCAATTTATTGGACACGAAATAGACCTATAGATCGTTTAATAATATGTTGCTGTTGTTGTTAGTATCCTTCTTTTTCTCGTTGTTCTCGTTGTTATTACTATTTTATATTTATGCAATGTCGTTGGAACGCTACATATTATTTTTGTCGTTTATTTAGTATTGAACACCGGCACTGCAGTATTTAGTATTTGAAGTACTTTTTTAAAAGTTCATAGCGTGTTTTGAATTGACTTGTGTTTATCTCGACTTTTGGTTTATCGCATTTTTTAAACTCGTAGTTAATTGCTCAACGCAAGATCACATTAACTTACTCAGAACTGAAAGAACTCATTGAAAATCAAAGTCGTAAATTACCATATTTCAATGTACTTAGGCAAACTTATCCATCTTTCTCATAATGAGTTTCCAAAGCAAGGTCCTTCGGTGACACAAATTCCATTTGATTATCAAATAAATGTTATTATATGTAGAAACGACCACAACTACATCTACGACGACAACTACACTTCCTCCAACGTCTCCTAAACCGAAGGGGCAGCCAGACAAGAAATTAGACGTGCTTTTCTTGGTAGATTCTTCTAACTATGTAGACGATTGCGAAGAAATTGAAACTAACTTTGGTCTTGCGAGACCACTTAGAGGAGGCCAAATCAACAGCACCGTTGCGCCAAATTATACAAGGATGAAGAAGTTTATTACTGAGTAAGATAATTCGTTATGTTAATAAAATCTTCATTTATCACGCACAATCAAATTTCATGCCAGTGAATTAGTACAATCTAGTAAAACTTTGGACTGTTACGTCATCAAAACTTTTATGCTTAGCTTGTCACACCGTTCAGCTATTAAAATTTAATTATATGTATGCTGTTTCGATGTTTTTGGACCTGATAAGGCTTACCGTTCACCAGTAAGAATCTCGTGCGTTAGATGGCGTCCCGGAGTGGTTGGAAAATCAGGCTAAAGTTGACGGACTTTAATATTCATTGAATGCTTTTAACATAAAAGTAATATAAGCAAAATACACTTTTTTTTACAGTTTTGTTAATGGCTGGAGAGGGATTGACGACGATGGTACACGAATAAGTATACAACTTTTCAGTAATTTATGCAGTCCAAGAACCAAATCAAATTTATACGTAGAAAAACAATTCAAGGAATCGCATGAACAACTGGTGACAAAATATGTGAGTTAAATGAATTAACTTTTTAGAACCTTTTTATTTTAAACTCAAAATCACAAATTGTTTTTCTGTTTCTTTTTTTTCTATTTTCCTGTTACTTGAACTCAATTTTCCTTTTCCAAATCTGTCATTATTATCTTTACTTAATTTTTGTTTCATAAATTCAGATACGAGATCTTCCATACATGTGCGGGGACTATTGGTTAGATTGGGCTCTACAATGTGCGATCAGTCCTGTGTTGACGTCATCATTTGGTGATCGAGAAAACATTCACAATGTGGTTGTAACAATTTTAAGTAATGCACCAACAACATCACAACCCAGCGGTAAGATTAACCATTTATTGCTTTAATATGAACCAATTAATTATTTTTCTGAACCTGCGTCATGTTATTTGTACGTAGTTATTCACGAATATGAATGTCGCGTTTTAAAGAAGCAACACACTTTGCTATATGGTATTGTTTATAAGCACCCACGGGTAGAACTGCTACCACATACTATAAAATTTGTACTATTTCCCAAAGCAAGTTCCGTAATCCTCATACCTATGCGAAGATTCCCATCCAATCTAATGCATATAAGGGAGTTGATAACTCAAAGCGACTGTTTCATCCCAGGTTATATAGTGGAATGCTTAACTTTCCAGAACAAACACTCACCGTGTTTCCCCGAAAAAAAGACCTAGCCCGAAAATAAGACCTAGTCGGTAGCGCGAATTTTTTTTGACCTATTCGATAGCAAAAAGTCTCTTCTACACGTTTTAAATGATTGATAATGTTTATCAGTTATTTTAAATAGAAAAGTGTGATTTATAAGTCTATGGTTATCGGTTTTCATATTTGTAATTCGAAGATCTCGTAATCCTCTATTTAATAATTTTGTTTCTGATAAATAAAAATAAAAGACATCCCCCCTAAAAGGCCCTAGAGTTATTTTTTGAAAGAAAATTGAAATAATACCCAGCGTTATTTTCGGGGAAACGCGGTACTTGTATATTAGCGCCACTTATGACATAATGTTTTTAGATTTTTTAACTTATTTATAACTAATTTTATACCAACTGGCCTATAATTTCTCAAGTTGCTTTTTAAGTGTACCGATCAATATTGTAATAAAGTAGCTTCATATTTAATTTGCCAATTTTAAATTTAACTAATTTCCGTATAAACCAACTTTATTTTATTTTGGCTCTAGATAACTTGATGAGAATCATATTAAAAAGGCTCGTTGGGAAAGGATCCACGGTGATGTCAGCTACAGCAACACCACTGGAGTCACTGGGTCCAAAATCTAGAAAAAGATACGAAGAAAACGCAAGAAAACTCGCCTGTGACGATAAAGATGACTGTGCAGCATATTTAGGGTCAATATGGGACTCTGACAAAGAAAACGTTGCCGATTTGGTTAGAGAAGCATTGAAAGAAGCTGGAGAATTATAATAGAAAATGTAATTCAGGAATCAGAGAAAAAAAATTCCAATTATTGTTAGACAACATGCCAGTAATTATTCTTCGACTTACTCTTTTTTCGATTTACGAAAATGTGCTGTCAAAACAGTATCAGTATCAATTGTATTTTCATTTATTGTAGTTTCAATTATCTTTATTACGATTCGATCCAACTTTATTTTAATTGATTGAATCAACCATGGTAAACTTCTCAAAAAAATGAAAACTGTATTTTACAGTTATAGAATATTTGAAGATTTCTGCGCAAAGAGCGCTTTGCTAACTAGTAATATTGCTTGAAAATAATATCTCCTTGGGTATCACCGCTGTCTATATGGACATTTGTTTGTAGTGAAAGTATGGAAAAACATAAAAATAAAAAATAAATGAACGATTATTGTCCAACTCAATTTGAAGTATGAAATGGTGCACACAGATGAAGCAAAACCCAAAATTTGCTATCAAATTTGCCGACTAGCTATCTTCAACCCAGTGATGCCCTATTCAAAAGATTGTGTTGCAGCGCAAACATTGGAATATTAGCTTGTCATTATGAAATCGTTATTATTTTGCTGAAACGACATTCCAATTTTGTCCGTATTATGGATTCTATTTTTTTGTTCCAATATATAATACGAGATTATTAATTTCGCAATTTTATTTCTCTATTAAAATGTATGTATATATAATTATTTATTTGTCATTTAATAAAAGATAGTTTCGTGCAATAATCGTGTGGTTAATTGAATTTGGAACGAGAAAAAGAAGCACTTAAAATGTGGAAAGGACATAATTTAAAGACATTTTGTTTGATGTGGGTTCATGGACGCACGGGTGAGGACAGACAATAGGTTTAGTAATCAAAACGTTCGTGCGTCAGATATATTTTCCGAATTGTTGTTGTGATTTTTAGGTCGTCTTGTCGACATCTATTTCTGTGATCACCGGTTTCACAGCGTTAAATTATTAATTCGATGTCTAATCTGTCTTTCGAAGCTAAAAATTAATTTTATCTCCAACCTGCTATGAAAGTTACATAAATAAATGTATTCAACTATAAATTAAACTAGATATTTGATAAACTGTTAAAGTTCCGTACATTGTACGCCATATATTATAAGTATTGTATCAAATATTATAAGAATGCAGAATTTGTCGATCTTTTATTTATTATGTTTACGTATAAACAATTCAAGAGCGATATTATAAATTTATGTCAATGAGATAGTCAATGTAATCCAAAACAGAATACTGAAAATACATGGGAGATGTATTAGGGCATTATACAGTCAAAAGTGCATGCATTTTCGATGTCGTATTTTATGTTTCGTTTTAGTGAACTCTGATACAAATTTGTATAACGAAACTTGGTTTACTTAAATATGTAGGTATAAATATAAGATATAATTTAAGGGTTTTCAAACAAAAAAGGCAAATATTAGAATTTAAAACAATTTTAATAGGATGAATTTTTGAAAAAATTAGGAAAAAGTCAAAAATATGTGTTTTTTTAAACACTTTTGTTTTCAAGTTCGTCTATTTGGGTTAGAGCTTTTGAATTGATAATATCCTGAAAAACGTTTCGAATAACTGAAATAACCAAAGGTAAACTGCAACGTGTTACCTATATACTCTTTCTTAAATTATTTTGACGTATGGAATTATGATCCGCAATACAACTAATTCTTCAGAAAGGAAAGCATTCTTTTTAAAATCTAAAACTTAAACTCAAAATCAAGTTTAATCTCATCAATAAATTACTTTTGAAATTTCGTGAATTTTTGAAATGTCGTCTTCCAAAAACATTATCGAGAGATAATTTTTGTCTAAGGTTTCACTAATGACGTCAAAATTACGTCATCGATTTATAAAATTGCGAAAGCAATCATTACTCAGAAAAAAAGCAAAGAATAATAGGGCATGAATCATATTTCAAATACTGCTTTGAAGTGAGAAAAACGACCAATTCAAACATAAATCAAAATAACCAAATTACGAATGATCATTTTTATCAAATCAAATTGTCGCCTGAAACTCAAGTGACTTTGAACTCAAATTATTTTCAATATGCTGACTTGGAGAATTCTCTGAATTTGTTTAAAAATAATATTGTGGAAATAGATGATATACTTATTATAAAATGTGATATATTTTTATTATTTGTCATGATGAAAACATAGAATGTTTGCAGTCTGCCCGCCACCAGAGCCGTCTTTTTGATCCAAATTTATGTCGTATTTGAAAGAAACACGACGTTTTTGGTGTATTTGAAGCATGTTGCAAACTAAAAAAACTGTATATGCATGGAATAACACTTGTACTCAAATGTCACACAAAAAATTTCTTTAGAATTTTTTATTCAAACATCTCGTTAATTCTTATTACGCACAACGCTATAAGGTCGACGGTGTTTAAAACTCTATATATAGGTTTCCGTTGACAAAATATTTTTTCTAAAACGAAATCAGTACAAAATTTCCGAAGGATTCTTTTCCTTGTGAATAATTAATAGAGTTAATCTGAGATATCGAATTTCTTCGCATAAGAATCTCAAAAACAAGGGATTATGGACTTTCCGGTTTAAACGTCGCTTTCTTGGCGGTTAAGTCAACCAATATACATTTTCAAAGCGTTATTTTGCTTCTCCAGGAGAATATGGAAGCTTATAAAAAAAAATTTTGTCAAACGTGAAAAATATTTTATAGAAGCAAAGTCTGTAAGTTGGATCATTTAAAAGCAGTTGTTCATAATGAATATACTGGAATATTATGAAGAATTCGAAATAGGTATCGTAAGAAGGTCACCTTCGTTTGAAAGAATAATATATTGATATTAATACACATTTGAAAAATTAAATAAAAATACCCTCTTTCAATAAATTGAAGATTTCTATATTCATAAAATGCACTCATAAAAGTGTATAGAAAGTTTCGTGCAGAATTTATATACTCCAATAGAGAATACTTTGTAATTTTTTTATCAACGCGACAATTTTCTACAAATCTAGTAAAATAACCCCAGAGGTATGTAAGAGGAAAATGAGTTACTAGACTCATATTACTATTTTATTCCGTACGTACGACACTGAACAAAGAAAAAGCGGTACTCTAATAGTATGTGTACTATAGGTTGGAGTTAGGCCATAATTTTATTCCAGTTTTCCTCATTTTAGTTCTATTACAAGTTCGGAGACTGTCTGTGTTAGCCAAGTGAATATACTTCAGGAGCGCCGAAAAAGCTTTGTCTAAATCAAATCGTTTCATGATTGACTAGTATTTGAACAAACTTATTCGTTATATTGAAATATTGATACATTTCACCTTACCTTTATTTAATATTTACCAATTATCTATTTACTTATTTATTGACATATGTTGTAAGAACCCACAATGGTTATAAAACAAATTATCAATTTTCACGCTACGTGTGTGGTCTCATATCACGAGCATGGATATGTTTTGTTTAGGTAAACTGACAACTGAAGTATCACATGCAGACCAGGTAATCTATTTCTATTAGTTTACATGTTACGGATTAGAGACGGAGATAAAGTTGATGTATTTGACTTGTATTGCAATTATTGCATTTTTGGTTTTTGCAGAGAATTCCGCAACTTATATCCAGTTTTGCAAACTTCACTATGAAAATCGATGAGCTGTTGATATATAAGAACAGGGGTTTTTAAAAACAGAGTTTGCTTAAAAATTACTTAAACTTATAATATTCAAAATTGCGGTAACATCCTGGAATCCATTGCTGTGGTAAAATTTGACTTAAAATTTCATATTTTCACAAGGCTTCAGAATGCTGAAATTCTCAAATATGTAATGATATACATAACTAATATCATTTCCAACAATAAAATCATAAATATTAATATTTTACGCAATCTTTCAAAATGAAACTGACTATCGATGTTGATAAAATGATAAAAAAAAGATTATCTTTGTTCATGCACGCTCGTCATTGAAAAAGCACGCAAAGGGCCATCGTATAAGCAAATGTTAGCGTACCAAACAGTGCCGAATAAACACTTAAAACAGACAGTTAAAATCGAAATAAACTAAATGTCTAGAATAATTTAATTCTAATTATATGTATACATGACAACTCAAAGCAAAATGACATATTTGAAATTTATCTTACGTGTGATTGACGTAGGTATGATTTCATAATGATAATAACCGGTTCGTTATTCTTTATCTTAACCGGTAAAATCAGGGTAATGGTTGGACTAACATTAAATATACGTCGTCACTGTCAACAAATTAAACTCTAAACGTCATTGCATCGTATCTATTGGCTGAATATAAAGCAAACTAAGCTATTAAGTAGAAACTCAGTTTCAACTAAAAATACAGACTGAAAATGCGTTAGATTTATCGTAGTGTGATATAAGAATGCGGTAAGATTCGTTGGTAGCTTGCAATTTGGCTCTCATAATCACACTTACGATAATATGGAAAATTCTTCCTGTATTGAAGTTTGTAGTCCGAAAGAATTCGTGTTAGCTCTAACAGACTAACCATATGTTCTCTTCACTTTTCTATGTGTTCCATTTTTTTACCTTTGTGAATGAAGGTTTGTATATAAAATAAAAACAGGTCAAAATCACAAAGTTGGGTTACAAAATACACAACCTAACAACGAAAGATCAATTTGACCGCGTTTCATTATTTCGGATGCTTTGTATTCGTTTGTCGTTTTTTTATATTGGCAATGTTTCAATTCAATCCAGTCGGGGCAAAATAATATTAGAGTCATAATGACGTATATTCCCATGACAACGGTCATCAACAGCAAACATGAAAGATCGTTTGTTTTCAAAAATATTTAGTCAAAAAATTGCGCACAGGTCATGTTGTTAGAACGGCCGAAGCATAGGGTTCTCAATGAAAAATTCAAACGTGACATTTTTGAGTCATATAATTTGAAAAACCATTATCTTGTTTTATCAATAGTTATTGTATCTTACGGCCTGAACAGAAAATGACATTTGCATAGTATGGAGTTCATCAATGGTTGATAATCGGCAGTGTCTAAATAGATGACAATACTTCTCACCGAAAGAAAAACGCAACCTCAAAGTTTTTAAAAGCCTAAATCTCATTCTATTTTGGTTCCAATTTAAGGATTAAATACCGCAACTTTAAATTGGTTTAAGAAGGTGTTGCCTCTGTTAATTTTTAGTGCCCAAATAGAATATACTATCTCGAATCTGAACCGAATTTTAAGCAAGCAAACGGTATTAAAAAGATAAATTGAAAAAATTAAACTAAAAAATAGAAATTCATAATCCGGATTATCAAGAGGTTTATTGTCGCAAAGTTAGGCCCTATTTCCAATTTCACACCTTTCATGCTCATGTTCGAATTGAATATAAACACGAAAATCAATTATTGAAAGATGTGGAACTAATGTATTTTACCGCCTTTGTATTTTACTTTATTCCAATCTTCCTTCGCAAAACAATCTTTCTTCTTTTGTTTTAAATTTTCATCAGTATACTATTCGATTGGATTTCTATAAAATCTCTTTATCGATAAAGAGATTTTATAGAAATCCAATTTGAAAAAATATTTGTTCATACAAAATTAATGAAGATAACTTCATCTTGTTCAGTTATTACAAAAAGAAGACACTGTATACATTTCGGTTTGTATTTCATTTTACGACGACTTATATTGTCTCTTATTTTCTTATTATAAATATTATAACAAAT